CTTGTACAGTACCTCTCAGACCTGCTGTCCTGTAGCTCACTGACCTGCTGTCTTGTACAGTACCTCTCAGACCTGCTGTCCTGTAGCTCACTGACTTGCCCAGTGGTCATGAAGAAGATCCAGAAAGGGTCCACGCCACCTTGTGTGCTCTGCACGGCTCACAGTCAGCCCCCAGCGTGACAGATGTCTCACAGTCTGACAGTGGATAGCTCTCTCTCACCACGGCCAGGGTCTCCTCCCCTGATGAAAGAGTAATGAACCAGACCCCCCCACTGCAGGCGGTAGAACTGTGACACTTTCTCCGCTCAGACATGTACAGTATGTGCAGAGACCCCTCCCCCTGTGTACTCTGGCACTCAATAAGCCTGGGTAACCCCTCTCCCACGTCATGTTTTTATTAGTTACGGTTCTCTAGTAGCCTGGATTACAGTTTGACCAAAAGAAAAACACAGGGGCCGCACGTTTAGCGGACGCCCCACCCTCTCTCGCTCCACACACTGCTGAGATTTTGCTGAACCTTTGAACTCTGACCTCTGTGCTCTTTCCCCCCTTGTTTAAAGTGAGCAACCGGAGGAGCGGCACCAACAGCACCTCCCCTCTCGATGGGGTACCCCGTCAGCTCAAGACTCCTTCTCTTCAACCAAGAGCGCTCTCCCAGACCCCGCGGAGCACATAGACTCATACCAGAAGCTCAGCCCTTTGTCACAGGCTAACAGCATATTTATTAACGCTTCCGATTAGCTTGGTGAGCAGCGTGGAGCAGGGCAGGGTTAAACATGCAGACGACAGAGTGGCGGAGAAGGAAACTAGAACAGACATCTCGTGTTGCCCTGTGTCTAAGGGAGGGAGAAAAAAAGGACACGATTTAAAAACTTCGTAGTTGAACACACACAACTGGAGTTGTGTAAGCACTGCGCAATATTACTCCACTCCTACCCTGGCCTGAGGAGTGGATCACCGCGCGGCCGAAGTGCACTCTATTAGTCAGAGCTGGTCGGCCCTGTCCTTTAAATCATCAACTCGCAGTGAACTCCCAGCGGCCGCACTGCGGAAACAGTCCAGTTGATTGATAACTGATTCGGTCTAGTAACGGAGAGCGGACTCTGGAGCAGAGGTTGTTATCATGGTAGAGTTGTTTATAACGACGTTCACCTGCCTCCCCAGCCCTTATGAACATTCCCAATGAAGAATCCTGGTAGCACACTGTGTACCGCGGTGATGAAAGCACTATGTTGCACAACAGGTCTGGAAACTGCACTACTGCCGTGTGAAACCCTCATTTTCCATCTCTGCACGTGGCTTTCTGTCTGCGGCTCTGCAGGGGACTCTTGAGTTTGAAACCCCTGTCTTGCGGGCCTGCAGACAGGTGGAGTTAAAAGCAAAAAGCCAAGAGGCTCTTCAGAAGACAGGTCACAGACGAGACGAGCCACTCCACCCATCCAGCTCGTTCAGTAGCTAGCAGCTCACTAATCCCAGAACCGCCAGCAGCCATATCACCCTGTAGCTCCCAGCTGGCAGCCCACTGCAGCTCAGCAGGTGTGAGCCTGGCCAGTACCTGGATGGGAGTCTCCTGGGAAAGCTAAGGTTGCTGCTGGAAGAGGTTTTAGTGGGGCCAGCAGGGGGCGCTCACCCTGCAGTCTGTGTGGATCCTAATGCCCCAGTATAGTGATGGGACACTATACTGTTGCAATGCTCTGTTGGAAAGCCAAGGGCATGACGAGGCACAGACAGGCATCGTGGCCGTCCACTGCAACCAAGGAAGTCTCCAGTGGTGATGACGTCTCGTACCGCTGGACCCAGGCTTCTGAGGTCGGGAGAGTGGCACTGCCCCAGTGCAA